AGTAGAGACGGGGTTTCACCATGTTGGCCAGCAGGTCTTGAACTCCTGACCTCAGAGGATCCGCCCGCCCAGGCCTCCCAAAGTGCTAGAATTACAGGCACAGGCCACTGTGCTCAGCTCCCTACCAATACTTTATTGGAAAACCTAAACCCTTAAGATCTTCAATTTTAGTGCACTTCTGGCTCTGATGTTATACCACCAGCCACCAGAGAGAGCAGCCATCCCAGGTCCCACTCCAAGCTGTCCCAGCTCCATGAGCTGCCTAACAGCTCTGTTGCCTTGAGGAGGCTCCCATGTCTTCTAGGCCCACACCTCATCTGACTGCAACAATGAATATGTTCCAAGCCAAATACTCTGGACTACAACTTTGTGTTTTCACCTTTCTCTAGGCCACTTCCAGGACTAATGAGATCATGACCTCTGCCCATTTATCTTGGCCACCATCTAAAGTCCAAGCCCTCCAGGTCATCCATTTGCACATGGCCACTCATCTCCATCCTGCTCACAGATATTTTACTCTGACTCCATCTCTTACCCATCTCTAACTTCCAAACCTTCCACTTAAACTGTGCCATATAGAGTCCAGATCTATCATCAGAAAAAATCCTGTATCTTTGACTTCTTTGAAGTTTCTCTTAACTTTCTTCTGATGGAAACTAGGATGTTGCCTCTGGGCTCTCTTTCCCTTGCAGTTCTCCCTAAGCGCTATTTTTCCATCCCACAGCTGAAAGCCTGGGAATAGAATAGATTCCGAACTTGTTCCTCCTTGCTGCTTCCAAATTATTTCTGCCCCTTCTTCCTTTAAAAACCACAGCTCCTTAGAAGAGCATGTTGTCTGGCTGCTCATTACTTCCTCTGTTCCTGTCACCTTCTAGCCTTGTAGTAACTCCACATTCATTAAAGATTTTAGCACTTGGATCACTATTTCCCATGTCATTTCTGTCCTCATACATGGGAACTTCAACATAATGTTGTCACCTAGGTTTCCATTGTGGTTTCTTATAACTTTACATGAATGCTCTCACTAATGTCATCTTCTCCCTGGCTTCATTTATTATAGATGGGCTGATGACTTCCACCAAACATCTCTTCTAAGCTCCAGATCCATATATCCAACTGGGTATTTCTACTTGGATATTTCATGGAACTCCAACTAGTCAAAATCTGAACTCCATCGATCCCACAAACCTGATTCTTCTGTTCTTAAAATCATGTTATATAGAATCAATGTCTACCCAGTCACTCAAGCTAGACTTTGTGGGGCGGGGGGTCATTCCAGACTCCTCTGTACCTCTTAGAGACCACATCCCATTAGTCATCTGCTCCCTAAGCTGCACCTATTGTCCAGGAGTCCAGAGCTTTTCTGACTAAACCTCTCCAGAGAGTAAACCTGGTAGCTAAGAGGGCAAGTTCTTGAGTAAGCATGCTTGTGTTCAAATCATAGCTTCCAGTATTACTGTGTAATTGTTGGCAAGTAAATTATGTTTTCTGGGCATCCATTTTCTTACCTGTAAAACAGGTATATAATAATATTGCTTACCTCTTAAAGTTATTGGGAGGATTAATTATGATATGTAAGATGCCTAAAACATAGTCAGTACTCTAACTTTTAGTGATTTTAATAACATCAATGATGATAATGCCTGAGTGAAGCCAATAGGGGCACCCATCTGGCTGCATGAATTGAGGAAAGAGATTTAGAAGATACCCATTGCTTCAAAAAAAATTAAACAATTTTTTTTGTTAGAGACAGGGTCTCACTCTGTCACTCAGGTTGGAGTGGGTGCCCCTCCTGACTTCCCTCAGGTATTATTGTCTTATATATCATAATTAATTGTGCTTTCACACCATCATAGCTCATGCAGCCTCAAACTCTTGGGCTCAAGTGATCTTCCCATTTCAGCTTCCTGAGTAGTTGGGACTATGTGCGCACACCACCATGCCTGGCTAGTTTTTTTACATTTTTCTTAATTTTTTACATTTTTTAGTAGAGATTAGGGCTCTCACTATGTTGCCCAGGCTGGTCTTGAACTCCTGGTCTGAAGCTATCCTCCAGCCTTGGCCTCCCAAAGCCCTGGGATTATAGGTGTGAGCCACTTCATCCAGTCTCAACTGCCTTTTAATCAGATTTCCAGCCAATCCTTCATTCAGCCCCACTCTGCATCCTTGGCTTTAAAGAAGCCCCGTACCTCCAATTCTTAAGAGCGCAGGTTCTGAGGGGCAAATTAGTTTATTTCCTACAGGCTTTCCCTCCAAGGCATCTAACTTTTCATGCTCTACACCTGCGCTATCCAATGTAGCAGCTAATATGCCACACTATCGTGCTGATCAAATTTGAAATGATGTTCTTGATATCTTGTTTTAAATAAAATATTATTAAAATAAATTTTACTTATTTTTACTTTTCAAACATGGCTACTGAAAAATTTTAAATTACATATGTGGCTGGCATTATGTTTCTATTGGACAGTGTTGTGTGCATCTTACAAAATTGACATTTCTCATCTGCTGTCACGTTTTCTATCATTCTATTTAGTCTTGTAGCTTATACACTTTATCTCTTTATTTTCATTTTTGGGCACTGTCTCGGGAAAGCAAAGATAAACGCATATGTTACATATGCCATGTTTAACTGGAAGTTCTACCTAAGCTTTTCACAATGTATCTCCTGTGCACTGTATTTGTGCACTTCGTGTCCTGTCACCACTCTTTGCCCCCGCCAAAATGAATTACCAATACCTTTCTGAACACACCAGGAAGCTTCCAGCTTTACCTTTGTTTTTTGGCCTCCTTTTTCCTGGAATATCTTTCTAACCCATCTCACCTGTCTGCCTAGTAAGTTACTCATTCTTCAACAGCTAACTCAAACTTCACCTTCTCAAAGGAGCTTTTCTTGACTTTTCCTCCTACCAGTTGAGCAGACTGCTCCAGGCCCCAGAATATTTCCTGATTTTTTTTTTTTTTTACCTAATTATCTGCCCTACAAAGAGGATCCATTTTATTCATCAGACCCTGCAGTACCAAGTTGAGGGTCTAATACATAGTAAAAACTCAAAAATGTTAAACGAACGAATGCAGACAGTAACAAAGACCGGTGGGATTGTAGAGGAAGGAGAGGCTGACTGAAAAAGTTTCGCGACAGCAGTGTTTTGTTTACATATATATATATATATATATAAAAAATTTTCATTTTTTTTTATTGCGTTTTAGGTTTGGGGGTACAGTGTTTTTAAGCTGTTCTTCAGAGAAGTTTTTGACAAGTGGAGATGGTGTCAAGAACTTTCCAGGCAGTGGGAACAGGACGAGCAAAGTTTCCCTTTAGACAGGCAATATGCTAGAGAAAGAGCACATCATCCAGTTTGGAAGGAGCATTGGTAAGACCAGATCATGCAGGGTGCTCAGGTCACAGGAGTTTGACTATTGTTCTCAAGATAATGGAGAGTTAAAAGGTTTTAAGCTGTCGTGAGAGAAAATTAGTCTTGGGTTTTAGCATTATCACCCCTGGCTGCAGATGGAGAATGAATGCGAGGGGCATGAGTGGAAGCTGAAAGACAGTGAGTTCATGGAAATGAGAAAGAACTCGATGTTGTGGTCTACGGGTGAGCGGCGCGCAGTGGTAATAAGTGGGGATGGAGATCCGGGTATGTCGGCCGGATGTATAGGCGGTAGAATGCACAGGACTCAGTAACAGACGAACATGGGGAGTGAGGGAGAAGGAGGAGTTTTTAGTTAGTATGAATGGGAAGGCGAGGGTAACATTTACAGTGACGAGTAACCACGCGGAAAGAGCAGGTCAGCTGCGGACAGTGGAGGTGGGGGCGCGGGCACCTCGCGCACCTTGTCCCTCGCGCGCCGCCGTCCGCGCTGCCCGCGCCGCCCGCGGTTGAGTCGGGAGAGGCTGCCAGCGCTGCGGTTCCGGTTCCGGTTCCAGTTGGCGTCTGCCCCTGCGGCCACCGTGAGCAGTCATGGCGTACTCCACAGTGCAGAGAGTCGCTCTGGCTTCTGGGCTCGTCCTGGCTCTGTCGCTACTGCTGCCCAAGGCCTTCCTGTCCCGCGGGAAGCGGCAGGAGCCGCCACCTACACCTGAAGGTAAGAGAATGCCAGCTTGCTCTGAGCTGCCTGGCGCCGACGAGTACGGAGAACGCTGCTCGAGGGAGGGGTGACTCTGGGAGGCTGCAGCCTTCACCGAAATATCCACCAAACTGGCTGGAGAGGGCGGACGAGACGGCTTCGAAGGGCCAGTCCCCATGGTTCCGTGGTTGTCTGCGGGCGGCGGCCTAGCTGGTTCTGCTGCAGGAAGGGCCAGGAATGTATGCATGTCTGGGCATCCTTTAGGTGGTCTTGCACACTCCCGTTTACGCGCAGTCCCTTCTCTCTTCACCCACTGGCTTAACTCATCTTGTCACTATCTGTTCAAGGGTTCCCAGCTGGGTTTCCCTCTTTAGGGTTACCGTGTACTTTCTGACGCGCTTTGTGCGAAATCAAGGCAAATGGAATTGGTACAGCAAACCTTAATTCATTATGTTCTTTCAACTTGGTGCTGGGCGCTCACTGCTTCAGGCTCTTCTTGTGCCTTTAACAATATATCTTGAAGGTTTTAATAACCCCAGTTTTAGTTACTGAAACAAATTATTACGTTCCCCTTATTGAAGCAGTATTTATCTGTTAATTCTTTGTTGTTGGCATGATGTATGTGGTGTTTAAAAATTCATCCTCTTAGCTGAACTGGGGAGCTTTTACAGAATGAATGTAAAGGCATGGTGCTGAAGGGTGGGAGGAGGAACCAGAACAATTCTCTACAGGTCATGAAGCTCTACTTGTAACTTTCTCCTGTAAATTATCCTTGTAACGTCTTTAAGATATGGTTTTACGGTGTCTGAACACTTCCAGTAGTGTTCAAACTGTTGGTTGCTGGACAGCTCCTTTTGAACTCGAATCCACTTCCCTCTGCTTTATGCACATTGGCTGTAGTTCCATTCCTTTAGCATCCTACACACTATAAATGTAAAGCACCACCCTTTAGGGTTGGAAGGCTGATTGAACACAGATAATTCTGTTTACAGAATTTGCCTGATAATCTTTATGCTTGTAAGATTGTAAGATTATCCACCTGGAAGAGACTTCTAAAACATCTTTCCATATTTGTTCTTTTTTTTCTTTCTGTCTTATTGAAAATCCCAAAGATTTTTACCTACTTTGTTAATTTATCTGCCTTGAAGAAGAGTAAATTCATGATGATCCTGAATAGTGAAGATTCTTCTAAAACAGTTTTTTTTTTTTTTAACTTGTCTTTCCATTATGGTGAATTATCTTGAACAAGTAGTATTGAATGTGAGTGAGAGACACTCTTTTGAACATTGTAGAAAGCGTGGAGTGGAGATTAGACATGGGTTGTTCCCGTGAGAACTCAAGTGTTGGTATTCAGCGTTCTCATCTTAGGATCTTTGTATTTTCAGTTCCCTTTATTCCTGAAGTGCTGTTCTCTTCCCTCCGTGCCCTTCTCATCATTCAGATTTCTGCTCAAATGAAAGCTCCTCGGAGACACTTCCCCTAATGACCCTAACTAAAATAATTATTTCCTCTCCCAACATTCCCTATTTTATCATGTTTTATATTTTCCATGGTAGACATCACTATATGATATGGAATATTCTTAAGTGTTTAATTGTTTATTTGTCTCCGCCTTCTAGAATGTAGGTTTGCAAGGGCAGGGACTTTGTCTTTCTTACTACTATTTCTTTTTTTTTTTTTTTCTACTTTCATTTATTTATTTATTTTTATAATGTAAGTAGGAAACTTACATCTGCACAAATGGTGCCAATTTAGAGCTGTTTCTTCAACTCCATTTTTACGGGTCTGCAAAAGATTACCAGTTACTGCGACCAGGCTCTTTCAACTGCACAACAGCTGCCGCCTTTATTTGCGTAATTAACTTGCTTGTTGGTGGAGGGAGATGATGTGAGCAGAGGCAAGCACAGGCACTCATTGTTGCCACTGACATAGTGAAGCTGCAAGGTGTAAGCAGGGTTGTGATTCATCCCCTATCTCGTGCATCTTGGCTTCACTAACTGACAGCCTTAACACCTCTTTAAGCATTGTTCCTTGTTCTTTTTATTTTTATTTTTTTTATTGCATTTTAGGTTTTGGGGTACATGTGAAGAATATGCAAGATTGTTGCATAGGTACACACATGGCAGTGTGATTTGCTGCCTTCCTCCCCATTACCTATATCTTGCATTTCTCCCCATGCTGTCTCTCCCCAACTCCCCACCCTCCGCTGTCCCTCCCCTATTTCCCCCCTGACAGACCCCAGTGTGTGATGCTCCCCTCCCTGTGTCCATGTGTTCTCGTTGTTCAACACCCATCTGTAAGTGAGAACATGCGGTGTTTGATTTTCTGCTCTTGTGTCAGTTTGCTGAGAATGATGGTTTCCAGGTTCATCCATATCCCTACAAAGGACACAAACTCATCGTTTTTTGTGGCTGCATAGTGTTCCATGTGTATATGTGCCACATTTTCCCTGTCCAGTCTATCATCAGTGGGCATTTGGGTTGGTTCCAAGTCTTTGCTATTGTAAACAGTGCTGCAATGAACATTCGTGTGCATGTGTCCTTATAATAGAACGATTTATAATCCTTTGGATATATACCCAGTAATGGAATTGCTGGGTCAAATGGAATTTCTGTTTCTAGGTTCTTAAGGAATCGCCAGATTGTCTTCCACAATGGTTGAACTAATTTACACTCCCACCAACAGTGTAAAAGTGTTCCTATTTCTCCACATCCTCTCCAGCATCTGTTGTCTCCAGATTTTTTAATGATCGCCATTCTAACTGGCGTGAGATGGTATCTCAAGGTAGTTTTGATTTTCATTTCTCTAACGACCAGTGATGTTGAGCATTTTTTCATATGTTTTTTGGCCTCATGTATGTCTTCTTTTGTAAAGAAGACATCCTTCCCCACTTTTGAATGGGCTTTTTTTTCCCTTGTAAATCTGTTTTAGTTCTTTGCAGATTCTGGCTAGCAGCCCTTTGTCAGATGGGTAGCTGGCAAAAAATTTTTCCCACTCCATTGGTTGCCGATTCACTCTAATGAGTGTTATCTTTTGCTGTGCAGAAGCTGTGGAGTTTGATTAGGTCCCATTTGTCTATTTTGGCTTTTGTTGCCAATGCTTTTGGTGTTTTGGTCATCAGGTCTTTGCCTATGCCTATGTCCTGAATGGTTTTCCCTAGATTTTCTTCTAGGGTTTTAATGGTATTAGGTCTTATGTTTAAGTCTTTCATCCATCTGGAGTTAATTTTAGTGTAAGGTGTCAGGAAGGTGTCCAGTTTCTGCTTTCTGCACATGGCTAGACGGTTTTCCCAACACCATTTATTAAACAGGGAATCCTTTCCCCATTGCTTGTTTTTGTCAGGTTTGTCAAAGATCACATGGTTGTAGATGTGTGGTGTTGCCTCCGAGGACTCTGTTCTGTTCCATTGGTCTATATCTCTGTTTTGGTACCAGTACCATGCTGTTTTGATTACTGTAGCCTTGTAGTACAGTTTGAAGTCCGGTAGTGTGATGCCTCCCGCTTTGTTCTTTTTGCTTAGAATTGACTTGGCTATGTGGGCTCTCTTTTGGTTCCATATGAAGTTTAAGGTGTTTTTTTTTTCCAGTTCTGTGAAGAAGGTCATTGGTAGCTTGATGGGGATAGCGTTGAATCTGTAAATTACTTTGGGCAGTATGGCCATTTTCATGGTATTGATTCTTCCTAACCATGAACATGGAATGTTTCGCCATCTGTTTGTGTCCTCTCTTATTTCCTTCAGCAGTGGCTTGTAGTTCTCCTTGAAGAGGTTCTTTACATTCCTTGTTAGTTGTACTCCTAGGTATTTTATTGTCTTTGTAGCAATTGTGAATGGCAGTTCGTTCTTAATTTGGCTCTCTTTAAGTCTGTTATTGGTGTATAGGAATGCTTGTGATTTTTGCACATTGATTTTGTATCCTGAGGCTTTGCAGAAGTTGCTTATCAGTTTCAAGAGATTTTAGGCTGAGTCAGTGGGGTCTTCTAAATATACAATCATGTCATCTGCAAATAGAGACAATTTGACTTCCTCCTTTCCTATTTAAATACCCTTTATTTCTTTTTCTTGCCTGATTGCTCTGGCTAGAACTTCCAATACTATACTGAAGTTTCTTATTACCCACCTTCTGAAGCCTGATTCTGTCATTTCATCTCACTCATTCTCCATCCAGCCTTGTTCTCTTGCTGGTGAGGAGTTGTGATCCCTTGTAGGAGGAGAGGCATTCTGGTTTCGGGTGTTTTCATCCTTTTTGTGCTGGTTTCTTCCCATCTTTGTGGATTTATCCACCTGTCGTTTTTGTAGTTGTTGACTCAGATTGGGTCTCTGAGTGGACATTCAGTTTGTTGATGATGAAGTTATTTCTTTCTGTTTCTTAGTTTTCCTTCTAACAGTCAGGCCGCTGTGCTATAGGTCTGCTGAGGTTCACTCCAGGCCCTGCTTGCCTGGGGATCACCTGCAGCAGCTGCAGAACAGTAAGGGTTGCTGCCAGTTTCTTCTTCTGCTATCTTTGTCCCAGAAGGATACCTGCCAGATTGGCCAGTCTGAGCTCTCCTTTATGAGATGACTCTTTGGATATATGGGGGTCAGGGAGCTGCTTGAGGAGACAGTGTGTCCTTTATAGGAGCTCAAGTGCTGAGCTGTGAGCTCCATTGTTCATTCAGAGATGCTGGGCAGGTACGTTTAAGTCTGCTGCAGCAGAACTCATAAACACCCTTTTTTTTTTTTCCCCCAGGTGCTCTGTCCCGGGGAGTTAAGCCTTTATTTGTAAGTTTCTGTCACGCTGCTGCCTTTTTTCAGGGCTTTCCTGCCCAGCGAGGAGGCATCCTAGTCACAGTCTGCCTGCCAAGGCTTTGCTGAGCTGCAGTGGGATCTGCCTAGCTGCCATGTGAACTTCCCTGCAGTCCTGTTTATACGGGTATAGTTAGAACTGCCTCAGCAATGGTGGTCCACCTCTGTAATGGTGGACTCTCTCTGTAATGGCGGGCTGCCTCAGCAATGGCAAACTACCTCTATAGTGGTGGAC